CGCTTTCGTCTTGGCAGCTACCCCAAAAAGCTTAATTATGCAAGAGCAAGTCTTCTATTACACATGCAATCAGATATGTAATTACTGCCATCTATACCATATCCCACTGACCCCTCGTTTCCATGGCTTATCTTCATAAACCATACTGATATTAATTTCCAAGGTCACTGCGCGTTCGTATAATTATTATTTCGACTGGCGTAGCGTCCCGAGTGTGTCTTTGCCTTCGCGGCCCTAGATGATAAAAGTGGATTGCTCATATGCCTGCGCACTTTCTTAGGAGTTGGTTTAGATTTTGTCGACGAATATGTCAGCAGAATCGGAAATTCAGTAATTTTGCAAAACAAAATTGTTGAAATATTTAGGGCCAAAGGTGAGTTGGGATTTCATGCGGTTCCCTCAATTTTCCGCTTGTGTATATGCAGATGCAATTGCTGCAATTTCATTTATTTTGTTGGCTAAATTAGTTTTTGTGACCGGATTATGATGCTTGGGAATATATGTAGGTCCTAAAGATGATAAACCTGCAAAGCCCAGTTAACCACGATTGGTGTCATTGTTTAAGCAACACGGTGACTGGGGTGTCGTGATGACATGTCCCGTCAGACAGACTCCACTTTTGAACGCTAAACAGCGCTTCTGCATTTGCTATTTTAAGTGTCGCCTTCCGTTTCTTTCAATGGGAATGCACTGGAATTCAGGCTCTATTCGCTGATTCATTCTTGCTTTGCGTTTTGTTTTAGGGATACGAAGTACAGCTTCTTCCAACATATTGACCACTCTTGACTGTTTCAGGCGAGACGATGGTGTTGCTCTCACACCGAGTAGTCTCTAGTAAATAGATCTTTACCGGAATTCCTTTTTAGCCTGCAGAAACAACCATTTGGTCTTTACCTGAGAGTCACGCTGTGCGATTGCATCAGTTTCCTTTAACCGACACTTTATGTGGGTTCAAACATAGCGTGGGAGTAGTAAAGAATGTGACAAATGATGCCGCGTTGTAGATCAACGCATTTTTCTGCTTCCTCGCAGATGTGCAGGCTCATTGGTCAAGAGCGCAGGCGAAATGCTAGCCTCTACAGTAGATATGGGAATGCTTGTAGGTGTATGAACTGCTTTTCATCTATCAATGGACGTCATTTCAGCGGTCTTACAGGTCATAAATGCGATCTGATGACGAATTTGTGGATGAATCTTACTGACGGAACGATTTGCTGCTGTCGAAGCTTCTGGGACTGTTCGAGGGGCAAATATCATGCGATCAAGCACTGTGAGCGTACCAAGTACCCTCTGACTGTGAAATTAGGCACAATCACACCCAATGCAAGTTGTCGGTACTTTGTCTTGGTCTAGTTTTTCAGCTTAATGACTGATTGTTCTGTAAATCCTGCGCTGTTTTTAGGTGCCCTCTATGCTTTGATGATGCTCTGTGCTGTTGATATTTTTTTGGGTGACTCAACGATGCTGCAAAGAAGGTATTGCAAGGGGTTGGAATTAAGAGGGCCAATGATTAGATAGAGGAAAGCTATGAATTGAATGGAAATGGATGGACGCTTTGGTGCGCAAA